CTTGACCGTGTCTCACGGTGTTGTCGCTTGCAGATTTACCTATACTTCTTCAACCCTGAAGATGGGGGCGATACGTTCCTCCGAAACGTCGGTTAACACCACATATACACGGTGCCAAATCCCAGAAGACTGCTTTCTTCATAGTCACCGCCGTGAAAGCCTCAAATCTTACAATCATAAGCTTGTTTTAAAAGCCAGATAACTTGCCTGCAGTTCAGTTTTGGTCATAAATATCTGATCTCATCCACCATAAGGAACATAACAGGAATATGTTTCTGCATACAGATGTGTTCCTAGTTCTGTCCATCCTTCTGGCTGACATTTAGGCAGATTTTGACCAGATATGAAGTAAATCAGATGCAAGTAAGGGGTTGGTCTAGAAGTAAACACAGAGAAAACTAAGTATATGTTACTGTCTCGTCACCAAAATGCAAGGCAAAATCATGACATAAAGATAGGAAACATGTTTTGAAAATGTGGCACAGTTCAGATATTTGGGGACAACGATAACCAAAACCTGATTCAGGAAGAAATTAAGAGGCGATTGAACTCGGGTAATGCTTGCTACCATTCAGTCCAGAACCTTTTGTCTTCCCGTCTGTTGTCCAAAAACGTAAAAATTAGAATATACAAAATTATAATTTTGCCTGCGGTTCTGTATGGGTGTGAAACTTGGGGGGAAATAATTGTATTTGTATATTTAAATATATATTTTAAGCCAGTACATACACATTAAATGTTGATAAAACAGATTACATAATATTATCAATAAAAACCAGCCACCAATTTTATCTGCCTATAAATCAGTCTCTAAATTACTATATATATAATATTCCTTGGAACATATTTAGAGAGTCACTGTAAGGGGAAATCAGACTTAGAGTGACATCTCTCTGTTTGTCTGGCTAGTGAATGAAAATAACTATTGTTGTCTATTTTAATTTGTAAATTACATGTATGAAACTGATGAAATTCAGTACAGGCAGCTTATATTGAAAACTGTCCTGAAGATTAAATCTTGAGCCATATCAGTTTCTCATTTCTTCCATTTTTATTAATTTCTTACACAAAATGCAGAAAATTAATACATAACTGGGAGATCATATTTGTGAATCTGCATGTTTCATCTCCAAGATTTCTCAGTGAAATCTGGTACTGGGGCTTGAAACTAAAACCATTAAGGAGAGTTTAATTTTGTCCTCTAGTGGGCATCCATAACCTGTATTTTATATGAAAGCCAAATTGAACTCTGTTAAGTTTAGCAAAAATGGCTCATTGTACCTACAACTGATAGATGAAATGAAATGTTGATTGTGTTAACATCTAAACCTCACAATCTGAAACTTCTTTGTATTTATTTACATGTGTAATTAATTCCAGCAAAAACAGTTTTTGAATATAAAGTATAACTATTGTTTTTAATGATGCAGCAAAAGATTTGCATCCACAATAAATAAATATCAGGACCATTTAGCATTTGTAAAATGTATGTACTCGACTGCAGTACAGTTTTGCATTGTTGTTCACAAACCAGGCTTGTTAAATCCTGTGGTGTTATTTATCAGGGTCTGTATTACATATTTTCACCTGTAATTATTTTAACTTTTTATGGTAATATGACTGTTCTGTATGTTGGCAGGTACTAAGCATAACAGTATCTCGGAAGGATGACGGAGCTTCCCTAGCACCACAGGCTCATGTGGCCTGGTATGGCTCATCTACCTCTTCACTAATGCCCTGTGATCAACTTAGTCCGTTTTTAGAGACATTCAAGGTATTCATTTTATTTATTCCTCTGATAGAATATGTTCTAGGTTATCTTTAACTTACATATATGGTACTGTAATGCTTCCTTACAACCTTAAAACACCTGTTAGATTCATAACATTCATCTTTATGTTGAAAATAAAATCACACAAAACTTGGACCAGTTTCTGTGCTGCTGATTATTGTAGACCTACATCAAGTTTTGTTGAGACATTTTTATAGTACTTTGGTCAGACTTGGTATAATGCTGTTCTCATTGTTGGTAAACATAAGAACATTGCAAATTTGTTTTTAAATAACCTCATAGAAATGGTTAATTTGCTTTGAAATTTCTGTCAGTTGGAGAATTCCAGATGCTCGTATAACAGGTAACTGGAAGTTCGTTGTACTTGACAAATTTATAATAGTGCCGTTTTCCATAAAAATTACTTTGATGGATGTTCAAAGAATGAGTATTGAAGTCTCCTACATTGAGTGTCATTTGTGACAGTTTACTCACAAAGTTTTCATAACGAGGGACCCCTAACAATATGCCATTCATATAACAGTTCATACAAATTGACCAGTCAGCCCTAAAGTTACTGGGGTGGCAGATTAAAAAAGAAAACGTAGAGCTATCCCTGTAACAGGCCGTGGAGGCCTATAGGGTTGTGAGACCTTGAGGTTCCCACATTTTCTAGACAGTTGGCTCACAGATAGTGGTGACTTCAGCTTTATGTGGAGGTCACCCTTTACCTCCAGGAAAATAAGTATGCTACAGGCTGGAAGGTTGTGGGGTTGATTCCCAATGAGGTCATTGGATTTTTTGAGTGACCTAATCTTTTCAGCCATGCTATGGCCCTGGAATCGACTCAGCCTCTAACAGAAATGAGTACGAGGAATTTTCCAGGGGAAAACACATACATATAAATATAGTCATTATAATGCCGCATTACTAGTAATTTGAACATACTGTGCTTACTTGCTTACTCCTTCATTGTCTGGTCCTCTGACCTTGATCTCCTTTATGTCATGTGCCCATTTTTCTTTCATCTAGCACCCATCATTAGGTTATTTTGCAAGGTGTGGTTGCTAGCCTGACACCAAATGCTGATCCTGAAGGACTAGGGACTGACTACCTTTAATCTGGCTCCTACCCTTCGACCTGTCTACCATGGGTGAATCTACCAGAAGCTCATGTTTGTGCTAGCATAGCTCTCCAGGTGATGAGGACACACAGATCTCCACACCACATAAACTAGTAACCCACTGGGAAGCAACATACTGCACCATCGAAATGAATGTACTGAGACAGGCTACAAAATGTATATGGGAAGATTACCGAAGAAAATTTAGCTAAAGACTGGATAAGCATTGACCAAATTCTGGACTACAAGGGAAAATTTGTCACATTGACAGCATATGATGAAGTATATAGAGCTGGAACAAGAAACCATGAACAAACACTGAAGAGACTGTCGGCCATCTGAAGCCTCTTGGTTTGATGCTGTGAATGTTGAGGGCATATTTTGTTACAGTCTCTACTTTCACTCCATACTGTAACTATACTTTACCGTTTTGCAGACAAGGTACAACAAGAAGAAGCGAGGTCCTTACAAGGAGGCGATCAGACAAGCAACAAGCGAAGCAAGAAGGGATGATAGAACAACACTGCTACCAGTGACATCTTCTCCTAGGGAAGTGAATGTAGTGTCATAGTTAATCTGAATAGGGTGCTTGTGCTTTGTGGCACTACAGTGACATACATAGATCTGAATGGACATTCACTATGAGGGCTCCAGTGAATCAGTTTCACATTTTCTTCTTCTGCATTTGTTCATCAACACCGTGCATTTGATTTGGTAACAGAAGTCCATTCAAGGGAAACCAATAATGACCAGTTTTCACATCTGTAATAAGTTCTGATGTGAAGGTCATAGAAGACACTGTTCACATGTTTCATACCAGTTGTTTGAATACAGATAATACTAAGACTTACTGAAACGTTTTGTATGGTGACAGGGTTGCCACGTTTATACCAAACCTAGCACATACTAAGGATAAATGTGTCAAATTATCTTACTGTTCTATATTGAAAGCTGTAAAAATATGTTAATTTTCTAGGTGCCAAACATTTTACTTTTTCTTTCTGTAAACACCCTAGCAGTGCTGTGCTGCTCCATACTTGCAGTGATGTTCCAGTGTATGAAGATATTTTGTTTCATCATGCCATAAATTTTATTGTGAGCACAGACTCAGGTGGAGGAGTCGGACATCCCCCGTAATGATTCACCCTATGATGGTCACTTCATGGCTGTTCTGTGTTGGAGCTCACACACAGTCGTTCATGTCAGTTCATTCAGCACTGCTACATGCAGATGACTTTTGGACAATACATTTGTATTCCTGGCAGGCACTCTGATTGTGGTTTCATAATGTCCATTTTATGTGTTAACTTTCATTGCTGCTGTATCTTGCTTTCTATCCTAAATTTACAGAACATTAATATTTTGACCATTATTGCAAGATTATCATTTGTTAAATGAATGATTTCTGTTACATTGTCTTATATTGTTGATCTGTCACAGAGTGATGAAACTGATATTTGAAATGCTGGCAGAGCTTGTAGCCTGAAGTGTATGCATTTCTTTACAAAGCAAAATTATTTCCATTGTTTCTGCATCCAAATTTTTCTGAACGATTCAGTGTGTCTTACAAAGTGATTCAAACGTAAACACCACAGTACTTGGCATACAATTCAGAACAAAATTATGTGAACATGGAAGTTCTCTGATAATGCTAGGGTCTCATTTCATCAAGATTCCATTTTAGACAGGTTTTATTATACTATCTTCCATTCTGTATCTCTAAGTATAAAGTAAAAAGTAAAGGTATCGCTGTAACAGGCCCGGGATGCCCATAGGGTTGTGATATGTTGAGGTTCCCAACTAATGCAAATGGGTAGCTAGATCCAAAACATAATTATATATTGTAGCAGGAAATTTTGTTTTGTCAAGACATATGTTTATGAGCCCCAGAAGACACGAGTCCAAATTGCTTTAAAGTCTAAGCATTAAGTCCCATTATGAAGTGCAGAATCTTACCAGATTGTGTAACCACTAAGCATAAGCAGGGTAATGTAAAAGTGTTTGATCCATTGTGCTTCTGACTGAATATGAACAGTAAACAATAACACGAAAGTTGACAGTTCTATATTTCAAAGTGCATGGTTTGACCCCTTGTGCAGGATGCGTCAGAAAGAATGGTTGGATTTCAAGCTACCATTACGCCACAATGGGAGGAGGCGTAGAGTGGGGGGCCGACTGCCGGGTCGGCGGGAGAACGCAGTTTCAGTTGGTAAAATGGAGTGATCGGGTGCACAGCGTGCATTCATGATAGAGACGTTTTTGAAAAATAGAGTGTCTGTGATTGCCACTCACTGAGCCTTCCGCACTCATTTCGAGCTTGGACGTCGCAATAGGATCCCTACTCGAAACACAATTTTGCAGAGGGTGGCTTCATTTTGTGCCACAGGTTGAATCTTAAAGAATAAATCACCTGGATGGCCACGGAGTGTTTGTACACCTGCAAATGTGGAGGCAGTAAGGCAGTCAGTTGTCCAGTCACCTCAACGATCAGGTCGCAAACATACTGCTGCTCTGAGATTATCTGATGCTACAGTAAGACACATGTTGCATTTAGACCTTAAATTTCACCCCTACAAAATGGCAGTTGTGGAAGAACTTCATGCAGAGAGACTGGGATAATTGTGTTAACAGTTGCCAGTGTATTCTTGTGAGCATGACCCCTACTGTCATTCTGTTGACCAGTGACGAAGCCCATTTCCACCTATCCAGCTGTGTAGATACACAGAATTTCCAGTATTGGGCAGGAACCAATCCTAAAAAAACTGCATGAAAGACCTCTTCACAGTGAGAGAGTAACTGTTTGGTGTGCTGTAGCAGAATTTGGTGTTTGGGAGCCTTACTTTTTTGAGAAGGATGGCCATGCAGTAACTGTTACAAGTGCTCGTTACATTGAAATATTACAAAATTTCCTGCAACCAAGGCTGAATGAGCTTGCTGTTGATGCTGAGGACATTTGGTTTCAACAAGATGGGGCCACTGCTCACACTGCGCGACTAACAATGGGTCTCCTGAGAGGGCTCTTTCTGGGGCACATCGTCTCGCATTGCGGTGACATTCCTTGGCCCGCACATTTGCCCGATCTTGCGCCCTGTGATTTCTTCCTTTGGGGCCATTTGAAGGCAGAAGTTTATAAACATTGACCATTTGAAGGCAGAAGTTTATAAACATTGACCACATACACTGGATGATCTGACAGTGATTCGAGAAGAAATCACAGCAGTTCCATCAGATATGGCCGCGAGAGTGATGAATAACTTCAGAAAACGCCTCGACGTCTGTATAAGAAGCCAGGGATGTTATATGGGTGATATTGTATTCCAAAAATAAACTACATATATTGGCAAATCTGATGGTAACAATAAAATTTGGATTTGATGAAGCCTTACCAGTTTTATTGCCCTGTGAATTCCATCCATTCTTTCTGACGCACCGTGTATATCTGAATCTGAGGTACAACTGACATTGTTTTAACCACAAAGATTTCCAGGAGTCATTTCCAATCATCCATATTCCAGATACTGAACACAGTGACTGGACTGCATTTCCAGCATAAGCTCAGGGCTAAAGTTTCAATTAGGTTTAGTTATATGGCAATACAGAGTTGGAATGTTGTCATTGCACACTTGACACATACTTATGCAGCTGGAAAAATACTCGTGCTAGGATTAAAATAAATAAGACAGCACAGTCACTGCTGGCAGTGACATCTTGCTGTTGAGCTGCAGCACTCCTGATGAAAATGTATATTAATTCTGATTCTTAAGTCCTTAACTTCACCAACTGACCACAGTATCTGAGTCACTGCCTTTGCAAAATGTTGGTGGATTAACACATTGACTGCCACAGTATCCTCTATGCCGAACAATTTTCCTTCCAAAAAACTGATTAGCCTTTTGTTTGCTATATTATTTTCAGCAATTATTTTACTTCCATAATCTGAGGAATCATGTATAAATTCACTATTTCTATCTAAAAAATGGACATCTGAAGTGTTTCCTCATTGGATTAAAAAAATATCCATATAGAAGAAATCATGCAAGTTTTGTAGACTCTGTAATAAATGTAATAGATGAAAACAAATGGGAAATATATGTGCTTATTTCTGTAATAAAGCATGGCCAAAATATGAACTAACACAGTTCAAATGATCCCAAGACACTGCAGGCAGGCTAGAAAAGTCCTGAATAAGTGCAGATTAAGATGGCAAAATTTTAATGAAGTTTACATGACTACAGCATATACTGTTTGGGTGAGCAGTGAAAGGGTTAAGAGATAATTCAGTTTCTTTAATTCTACTTAAACTCTACATATCTTCATACAACTACAAGTACTGAAAAAAAAAAACTCAGTATTCCAGGAACAAGCAACTTTCAGTAATGAAAGCAAATAGTAATAATTTAACATGGAATGCAACATCTGTTAATATGTTTATTAGAATATTCTCACACACAGAGATGAGGCCATCTAGAACTTTCCTGTTTGTGTCATGTTTCATTACAGTCTCAAATCACAAATGAATGTGCATTTTAATCATAATTTTTACTTTTCCCAATTGAAGTGACTTATTTTCCGCAGATCTGACTTTTTGAATATGGCAAGGCAGCTATCCATCTAGTTTATTATATGAAGGAAAGCATGCTCTTTCATTATCTTATGTTTGCTAATTGTGTATATGAGACCAATTGCCTAGGGCTCACCTCTTGGCAAGGGTAGGAATTTTTCTGTTCACAACCACACTCAGAGCAGCCCTGAAACCCATCCAGCCTCATATCCAGTGATTACTGGGAGCTCTGGCCTCAGGTTAAACATCCATAGCATGGAGATTTGTTCCATATCTCTTGCACAATCTCCATGCTATAGTGAATGGTCATGGGGTAATTTTTTTTTATCTTTAACTGGGATTGTGTAGCAGCAATCAAAAACATCTTAAATATTGAAGCTCACAGACTGATTTATCATATGCAACACTTCCCTTGTATCAACCCTGTTTCTTGGTTCCATGAAAATTACATTAAACCATTTAAATTTTTTAAGTAGTTATATTTTTTAAGTCAAGTAATATATATATAAAAATGTAGTACCAACACTATCATGGCAGTAGATGTGTTCTGTCTTTGTCATATTTGCCTTTTTTTTTAACTCTCTTATAATATGGGTTGCTTGTAATCCCAGGCATGTCAACAGAACCAAACAATGACGTTTTTTCAGTATAATGTTTCAGTTTTCCCCAGAATGAGAGTGTTAACAGTGATTTTTAGAGTTGTGTGTCTGTATTTTAATGACCCATCTCTCAAGCCCTCATTATGTGTCTTGCTGTGGGTTTTGAATCTCAGTTGCAGAACCGGGTATATGGATATTAAATTATCTCTCTCTTTTTTTTTTTACTGGGGCAGCAGTGCTCGTTTTTCCACACTGGCTATGTCAGTCCCTTCATCTTAAAATATTTATAACACATTTGTTTCTGTCTTTTCTCCATTGTCTGTGAGTTGTAATTTTACATACTGGTACTTACAGACAAACCAGATCAAATGTAAGCACTCTTCAGTTCTTATGGTTCTAAGGCACCAAGGAATTATAACTCGGAAATCTCATTTGTGAAGGGGTAGGGTGGATAAATATTTATACATATTAATTGTGATACTATAATGGTGTGTTTGGAATGTGTGACATCTCGAAATAATCTGTGATGAATTGTTTTGAAATCTTCATTGTATTTAGCCAGGGTTTTTTAGTGTTGCAGAGGTCTCACAAGCAAGAATACACATCAGTGATTATATAAAGAAGGAAATTAATGGTTGTCTGAATAACATTTTGAAGGAATTTTTTTACCACGTCAGTTAATTTTTCCAGCTAATTGTAATAATAATTGCTAAACATTTGTCATAAAAGTAATAACATATTTTAATAAGAGTGCAGTAAAACACAATTAGTATGAAATTTGAAATTTACAGATACTCAAATTAAACTCATGCATACTGAAAACCCTTTGTACAGGAGTGCAGGTGACCTGATTGAAATTAAACATTTACCTTATCTAATGCTCATGCCTTCATGGCATGATGCCTGGGCACAGCAGTAGCAATGCCTTTACAGGTGCTTATAAACAACGACATTCTGAATTGTTTATTCATGACTCAGGGTCATCATATAGTGCATTCCATGTTGAACTGTGGATGTAAAAGGACAACTTCCATGAAGTTTTCACAAATTTTATAGAGGTCATGGGGTTACAGCAGTTGTAAGTAATCTCATTTCCATTACTGTGTAATGATGCCATGGTGTGGTGGGCTGGTTTGCCAGCATTTAAGAGAACCTGGATGTCTCACTCTTCAAGGCACAGAATTTTTGACTGTCTCATGGACCAGAATTATAATTAACAGTGAAATAATGATACACCGCTGTTTGGTCACTTCACCCTGATGGAAGGAACAGAATTATTTAAATATGGTCATATGTTTAAGTGACAATATACAGGTTTGGGATTGGTAATTGGATTTATTGGACACTTTTTTAGCTTGTGATTACACTTCACAGATCATTATCACACATGGGCTAGTGTTATCAATCACACTGCTTGCTAACAGTTTCCAACAGTGGATGTTCCTCTGCTTCCATGCTCATGTCCTCACAGGGTGGCAACCATCTTGCACCAGCCTCATACTCTGACTGCTGGCTTCAGCTGGTACTTCCTTCATTTGCTAGCTCCAGGGCTGAACTGAACTGGCTTTCAACTGTCAACCTCCAACTTCACCTGTCAGTTCTTGCCTGGCTCCTGAGCCGACGTACCTGCTTTCCAACCGCTAAATGAACTCACAACTCCACATTGAATCCTTATGTAGCCTCAGCATGGGCCACATAGAGAACATGGCTTCCAACAGTTCCTCTATTGTTGCATGCGCATGTTGCTTAATGATGGAACTGGTATTTTTGTGTTTACAAAGCTCTTACCTAGCAATGGCTGTTTCTCTGGTCCCTTATTCTAGCTGTCAGGCCTCATGTTACAATATTATTAAACCTGCCCATTGCCCAAGAATGTAAATATGACTACTTGCCAGTTCTGTTGAAGTTTAATGAAACTGATCAATCAGTAAACAAATATGCCACATATTACATTCAGAATGGTATCAATGAAAAACAATTACACAGTTACATTAGTATGGCTTGAAAACTCTTGCATATAGAGGAGTAACCTCTCCCAAGGTATGAGACTTGTCTATTGTGAAGTGTGTCTTTAATTCCATGGCCACTCAACCTGCCCATGGCATAGTAGTCACATGATTAATATAGTATGAATGCTATGTAAGCTGTTGTAAAATTGTAATTTAATACCTTGTAATCAAGTGTTTTTATCTCAACAGACCACACAGAGCTAAACAGTAGTTACTGAATAGGCCCAACCATGCAGCTTTCTGAATTTATTAACAGAAAGTAAACAATTCACGTGTATCAGTTACTGCATTTAAAAGAACTTCCTGTTCCATTCAGGTACCGTAATCAAGATTTGGGTGCATGTGGTATCACAGTGAGGTTACACAAAGAATTAATTCACTGACACTACCAGAGGTTCAGTTCCTTAACATCTGGGTTGTCCAAGTGAGATTCCAGTTGTCAGTTTGACAGTGTGTTGATGTTCAGACTTGTTATGCATGTGTGTTGCAGTTTATAAGAATTTTGTGTCATGCAACATACTGACCATCTTGGCTGTTGTAAATGTTTGATAAAATGAAACAACTTTCTTATTGTGTATTACTGACTAGAGGAGTGAAATGCTTTGAAGTCTGTGACCCATTATAATCAGACTTTTTCTAATCAGATCATCAAGCTAATTCCACTGATAATATAACAGAAATTATCACATAAAGAACATGCAACAAAATATAATATTTTAATAAAAATAAATAATAAAAAAGTGGTTAATGGAAAAAATAATGCCATATATGATAATCATATTACTTTTATGAATTTGTTTATTTTAGTTGGATTTTGTATGTAGAACAATAAATCTGGGAGAATTATATCACGATATTATATTAGTGAGGAATATTCAATTAACATGTACTTAATTATAAATCAAGCTGCAGGAAGAACAGACAACAGTTTATAGTAGGAAAAGGAAATACTCAGTCACTTATTAATTTTCTATCTAGAGTATTGACAGAAATAAACATTTTTAACTGCTGGATATGGATAGCTGCATAAAGTTTAAGAACAGCCAGTGTCTCCCACACACATTTTCTTTTGCCCGTGTGAAGCCCCTAAAATCAGAGTTCTTAAACTCAAGAATTCAAATAGCTAATTTTGCCCTTCATAACTAATTCCATGGACTAAAGATGTGCTTCCTGCCTTTTATAGAACCTGAAGGACCATTTCCATGTTCACATAAGCAGAAAAATGAAACTTCTGACACAGTTGCCTGTGACTTTCTGTTCTTGCACTCCTTATCTCAAAAATGTCCCCTAGCAAACCTTAATAGTTGTTTCTAACACATTCTCAAGCTGGCTTTCTGTTTTTAGAAAATAGTTAATGAAAGTACAGTTTAGAATCCTGTCTGCATTTGTTTTCCCTTTATAAAACAAGAACTTAAGTATGAAGATTCTTGCAACCTTTTGGGATTGCATGAAGTTACAGAGAAGAATTCATAACTTCTTTCAATTTATAATACAGTATATTATACATAATTACATATTCAAAATTATAAATCAATTATGATATGATCTTGCAGTGTTTGCTAGAAACAACTGATTCCAAGGGTCCTGGCTTTCACATTAAGGAATACTGACCTGGCCCATGGAATTTTGAGTAGTCAAGCTCCACACGTGGCAATGACTGTCAGTGTGTCCACTTTGTTTCACAGTTTGATACTGTTTCAAGCAGCCTGAGTGTGCTGGGAACCCATGTGACTTAAAGACTGTGTATACAAGTGAGACCTCTGCATACTGAATTAATTACTGAAACTTGCTGCTTATACATTACTGTATTTAGTAGCATAATTTCTCAACTGCTCAGTGAGAAAGCAATAATGCATTTTATTTCCCCAGCTCTCATATAATTTTGCAGTATTTATCCAGCCAAATTTATCATTAATAAAAACTGCATGTTTGGGATCCTTTCCAATTGCATCATCTGGCTTCCTTTCAAGATTGTGATTGAATAGTTGGAAAAATTTGAAATGACAATACCGCAGTGAAATGAAGTAGATGTTCTGTTATATCGATACAACAGTTTGGTTAGTTCACTTGTAACACATTTAACATATGCAATGGAACTCTGGTAATATAAACCCATGTTAATCTGAATTCCCGGTAATCCGAACTGACATACAGTACCACCTCCATAAAAGAAAAATCAGCACATCAAAAAATTACAAATTTAATCTAATTAATCAAATTAATAAGAAACATGATATTATGTGTTAATGGACCTGCCTCTCTAGGTGATGAAAGATGTAACTTGGTTACGGCTTACCTCAAGCCTGGTGTGTAGTTGAATATTCCCAGGTTCTGCTCATTGTTTATATGTACCTATAAAACTAAGCAGTTTGATAGTCTGAATTCACCAGTGGTTTAGTTCAGATTATTGTGGTTGCATGGTATTAGAAAAAGTTTCATGATCTTTCTGCTTATCTCTTTGAGATACGCTGTACCTTCCTGTTCACCACTAATGAACATCATGAAATCTCATTTGTTGCTAAAGAAACCATGTATGTGAAACATTTCATTGCAAATATGTTGGACATTGTTTTCTGTGTGCAGTTATTTTACAGTATGTTTTGAGAAGTGGCTCTACTTCCATCTTCAGATGATTTTTCTTATACTGACATATTTTTATTTCCTCTTAACCATTAACAGCAATGGTTGCTAATCATTCAAACCACCTTGGTGGAATTGTTATTACCATAAAAGCTTAGTACTAAAAGGGTTCTGAGTTTGATCTTGACCCTGCCATTGATATATGGAAAATAACCACAAAATAATCTGTCAGTATAATGAAAACTAATCTGAGGAGAAAAGAATAGCCAACTCCATAAACTAGTATATGTTGAACATACTTCAAACTATGTCCACCATATTTGCTGTGTAATGAATCATCACATAACCTAAGATTCCAGGTCCAGAGAACAAAATTTTAGGATGAAAGGGCGTGAGACTATGCAAATAAGTATGGTGTTCTTTTTTCAAAAATATCTTTGTGTGTACATCATGCCTTGAATAGGCAACTTTAAGATCTTTGTCACTATGTGATGATGCACTCTCAAAGATGTTTTAAGTACAGTATATTAACATGATGGGTTGCTGGTACCCAAATTAGGAAGGATACTGAGTAGGAACCAGCATAATCGCCTGGTGCAAACAGAGGACCGCCATGTCACTGCCCAGCATTTTTTGTATCACTTATGTTTTCTGACTTTATTTAATAAGTGAGATTTAAGATTATCATAGCTGTGAATATGAAGAATACTGAAGAACCTGATGTATTCATCTTCAGGACAGAACCCTGAAGACAGAGGCAGCATGTTCCTCTGAAACAGTTGTAAGTATTCACCAGACTAATAGCATCACTTCCTAAAAGACAGTAATTGTGATTTAATAATTCGAGGTTATATCCTAATAATTATGTTTGACCATGATGACACCACTGTCTTTAGTACAGTGTGTTAATTACTCCAAATTTTACATGTTGCTTTGGCCAATATTAGTGATGCTAGGAGTGAAAAATCATTATGTTAGTAAATGACATTCACATTCTCTAATGTGCTAATAACATATCACACAACTCCCAGTGATATGTCTGTCACATTGCAGAGTAAAATATATTTTCTTAAACAAGCCTGCTCACCCACTCCCATTCCTATACCAACTATACCTCAGTTGCTGCCATAATAGTTTCCCCAATCATGGTCTGTCTTCCATTGACAATTTTTTTTTTGGCATAATGTCAAATGAAGTAAAAATATTGTTTCTGTTATAGCATCACAATAAACAGAAGGGTACAAGCTTTAAGTTTATAGTAAATGAAGATGTGAAGGAGTGTGTGAATGAATGGTGGATATGTGTGAAGTCTCCAGTGGTGCGTGCACTGGAGCCATCGTGTATGTTGTATCAATGTAACTACACCTCCAGCACTGCACAAATTATATTGTAATCAATTTGAATATGTACGTTCATATCCAAATAATAATTGGGATATTCAGCATCAGCTGTGTTACATACTAAAAATATTTCCTTCTCTAAGTATGACAGTCCAGATATCCTCCTTACAACACCTGGGCTATTCAGATCCCATGAACGTTTGTTATTAGCCTACAGCAGTGTTCTCACCATCATGTTCAGTCACCCAGTCATGCTACTGAGAAAGTATATTGCTTAAATGTTTAAATTACAAGAGTGGAAATATGTGTACCAATAGTTTCTATAAGCATAGGCTCATAAGTAAGTGGTAAAGGTTCTTTTCAAAAATCTACTGCATTTTAAATAGTATTTACTAATATATATATATATATATATCACTGTTAGATGTAACTGATTACGGGTATATTAGAATATATGTATATTAGTATAGTGCTGAACAAATACAGTAAAACCTGTCTTAAATGGAATCTCAAGGGTCCAGAACAGTTTTCTGCTGAAGCGAGGTATACTATAATAATTAAACCAGGACATGCACATGTATGAGACAAAATAAAACACCATAATCATTTAACACATGCAAACATTACCAAATTGCAGTACTCAATTTTTGTGATTTTACCAGAATTCAAGCAGAGTTTTTTGCACACAGTTTACTCTCTTGGCTGCCTGACTCTCTACAAAAACTTCAGCTTAAGAAGTTACACTAAGAATGTCTGAATCATTCCCTTGTATGGCAAATTCACCCTGACACTGACAAACCACTCCCGCACTATTTCATTAATATCTTTGTATGCAGTTTTCTTAAGTTCTCTTTTTATTTCTCCACTAGCAAAATTTTCCCATTGCTTTGGAATTTCTGTTTTCATCTTTAGAATCTCATACACGTAAATTTTACTGACTATATACATCTTCATGATCTGCCTAACAGACAATTTATCTTGCTCACTCGCATGAATCTCTTGTCTTTGTAGCCATGATGACAACTGCTAGATTAAAGTAAAAATATCAACCTGTCTTCCCAAAGGCATTCCTGTACCATTGAGGCAAGAAGTGGTTATATTTACAGCAGTTAACAGTTGTGTAGTGCCAGAAGATGTCTAAAAAATATGTCTATATTCAGAGACAACCCTAATACAATGAGAGTATGAAGGCTGGTTCACATAAAATAATACTTTTTATGTAGCAAATAATTTCATAAGGATAGGCATGAATCACACAGTGGACTATTCACAGCAGTTCTCGCCTCCATTACTGTGAACAATCATGTCTGATATACTCACAAGTAAGATGGTGCAGGATAATTGGTTAAAAATTACATAACAGTAAAGAAATTATAAGACCGAAAAGCACTCGTGATATTTTAGTGAAACTTTGCATGGCAGTAGAAGATACACAGGAGTCCATGGAAGAAAGTCACTGCCCTTTTGGAGTCACTTGTTGGAGTGTATTAGCAATCTTGTCTCTCAAATTTCCAGTATCTGTTGGATGTTAAGCCTAGTAATGTTTTTTGATGTAAGTACAAACAAAAAGTTATCAAATGAGCCTGATATGAATCATGAGTTAGATTATTCTATTAAGATAATATTTTTATAATACTTCACATACCAATGATGGTTTTCAATGTAGATGGAAATTTTCATTATTGAAATATGGGACAGGGGACCCCTGGCACCAACATGGTATTTCTGAAGGCTTGCAAAGGTTCCTAGGAAAGTCGAAGGGGCTCTGGTGAAGCTCTGGTAGTTTCACTAAGCAACAACAATATCACATTTCTGTACATAAGACACATTCTTAAAAGAGACACAAGGTAACTGCATATGAAGAATATACTATTTAATATTCCTTTTGAACAGAGCAATAGTTCTGTAAAACTTACAGTATATGACTATGTATTAATATAATTCAAAACAGTAACTCACCCTTGTGCTCCTTTCTGTTCTCATTCTTCCTTCTCTGCTTCTCCTTCATCTCTAATTTCTCTTTTTCTTCTCCTCTCCCTCTTTATGGAGACATGACATCTTGGTAGTGTCCCATCTCAGATGCAGAATTTATATTTCTGAACATTCTCTAGGATGACGTGTAGATTGGTTGCTGAAATGACTCAATCAAATTACACAAGAAAATTCAGATTGAAAAAGAAATAGCATTAATTGTATCAAGAGTTATGAAGCACATAGAATTGAGTATGAAAATTACAACCTTCTGATACTGGTTGCCATACAGTCTGGTAAACAGGTAGCAATGTTTTGGAGGAACCTGCTGCCTCTAACTCCAGAGTTGCCCTGAAGATGGAGGTAGGAATTGCCTGCACAGCATCACATCCCACAAGACCTTGATATCCAGTATGAGGTGTGTTTCTGAGCTATGTGCAACATCAGTGGATGACAGTTGGCTTCAATCAGGAAATCATACCCCTAGAATCTCGGGCAGTTACACTCTGAAGACTGCATCTTGTTTTGAATAATCTTCCATATAGATGCTCCCATTGTAATTTATGAAATGAGGCCATAATTCATTTGTTCCCTTCATCTTATGAGGCTGTTTGTTACTGGATGAAGTTACTGCATATGGCAACATTATACTGGTACAATTCACAACTGATATGTAAGTCTGAACATTTTACTTTATAGTCAGAAAATTAAAAGAAACCCTATGCTTCCCCTGCAACAACACGACTGAAATGCTTTCTGTGTATAAATCTTTTATTCAATGTATAAAATGTTGACAAGTTATGTTATTTAACATAGAGAAATTCTTTTCAGAATAGGTATAAAATTATATTTGAACAATTTTAAAATACTGTATTCATAACACCCACATAATTGATCTCTGAGAAAATATATGGAACAATAAAACATGTATAGATACAAGTTCAAGGAAATTAGTGTAAATGTATGGTAAGGGACACTAGATAGAGGTGAGTGGTGAGAAACAAGGGATGGCACAGCTTGCAGTACTTAAGACAGGTCAGAAATTAGTCATCTCTGGAGCACTGCTGCTATCTGAATCCAATAAAATTGATGCCTCACACATCATCTTGGCACTAGTTCTCACAAGAAACAACAAATGGCATTCTTCAAATGCTGTCAGCTCCACCCGGGTATGTACTAGGCCATGCAGTACAGTGGCCCGCTCAAGGTCAAGCCAGCGTTGCAGCACAAGTTCCCGGTCAGATGACGGTGTTCCAAATGCCACATCTGCAGGACCCCACAGAGAAAACTCGAGCACTGACTTCACCTGTGATAGAGAGATGGCCCGTTCTTGGTTTAGCAGGTTACTTATAAGTGGAGTGAGAGCAGCAGCAGCAGCAGGGAGGAGATTCTGCATGGCTGCCAATGCACATTGGCAGAGGGACCCTTCCTCACATGCAGGTCCTGTGCCCAGTGCTTGTAGAATACACAGCCTTGGCTGTGGATCCCGTTCCTCACGGCACAGTATAAAGTTTGACAATGATGTGGGTGCCTCCTCAATGCCCTGTGCTTGAAGAGTCTTTAGCCCATTTACAAGCTGCAGCAACACAAAGCTTCCATCTCTCCACTGTCCCTCTTCTGGGGCTTTGTTGCGTAGCATTGTGCCATAAGTCTGTATGGTGTCCACTTGCATTTGGTTCAGCACCACCACATATGCTGAAAGCAAAGCAAATCAACAGCATGGTTATGAGTTTCAACAGGAAGAACTATGGGGGGGGGATATGTTGTGAAGACAGACTGGCTGACCAACTGATTTCTTAGTACAGGTACATTCTTCAAATTCTGGACTGCTATAAAACAAAAAAGGGTTGTATTATACAGCTCACAGAAGCCTGTCACTGAGCCTTATTCTGAACCATTTGAATTTCAATTCACACCATAAAAATGTTCAAATATATTCTACATATATAAGACTGATCATATTAATTGTTTGATCTTCAGCATAAGTTATTCTGCATGCTTTGAACACTGAGATTGCACGTTTATTCCCCTCTCAGGGCATGGGTGAATATATTTTCTATATTGTACTTTTCTGTGTGACCATGTCAAATGGGCCTTATCTCACTGTGGCAGGGCATGTCCTTAGACTGGAGGAGATAGCTTCCAGATATGGAAGGTAGCTGGAAATGTATGGCACAAGCAGTTGTGGAGAACCAACAAGGAATGGAACTCTTCATCATAAAACACAAGCATGTTACAAAATACATGTAAAATGCATACAAGACAATATTCTCTTGCAGCTGCAATGGCAGGGCTTGGCACTGAATTAGGAAACAATGAATTTACCCTGTAGCCTTTCTAGAAAGGCCTTGTTTTCACTTTTCTGTCCTTTAGTCAAAGAACTGGATATCTGAAGGGTGTAATATAACTTGAAACTTCCCAGCAGAGAACCAAATGACTTTATTGCTTCTAGCTGTTTTATGGCACTAGAGAATGCAAAAACATTTCAAATGTTATAAGCAGGAGCGATTTTATAATGCAGGACTACTATGTGAAGAAGTGGGAAACTATTTTTACAGTATGCATCAAAATTACAAGACAAAAAATTAAAAGTAGTTTATAACTTCTTGTCTATATATTTTCAAAATTACGCTATAATATGTGACACTGTGTTCTTTGCTGATAAAAACAAAGTTAATTCCATTCATTTATCATAAAAATTGTATTGGATATAGCATTTTAAGTACAATGTAAGCGCCCTAACAGGAATGGACATTTAAACACAGTGTGACAACAGGCATTTAAATAAACTCTGGCCAGCTCAAGCTACTACTATTTCAATAGTCGGATGTTTAAAGGTTAAGGAACAAAATCTGTGGGATGACCCAGAAGATGATCAGTCAGGTACTAGAAGACATCAAGAAGAAGTAGCTTTTTATCCATCAACCCACATACAAATGGGTGCCCCTAGGAGGAATGGGAAGAGGAAATAAGACAATTCACTACGGTTTTGTGACTAGTACATTACTACCAAAGAGAAAAATCACATTTCCAGTCTATTTTTCATATTACACAAAGAAACAAGAGACATCTTATGTTAGTATGTCTGTATGTTTGAGGATCTGTTGTATCTCCTACACTAATAACTTTTGAAACAATAATTTCATGAAACTTAGTTATTTTAAAGTCCACAGGAATAACAACTGTTAGGACTTGATGAGAGCAAAACTAAAGCCATTTTATGACAGCTATCACATTTAGGTAATAAGTCATTGGAAAATATTCAAGAGCCCCTGCACACTATACAAAATAACATGTTACCTCCATAAAATACGGTTTTATAATTACATAACCAATGTGCTCATATATGCAGAGATGCATATGATATTAGACAATAAATGTAATTACAATTTTGTATTAATACTATTTTTGTGTATAGGTGTGCACACATGGCAATGATGTAAAATTCTGAGGTTATGTTTCATAATTTTAAAACACTGGACCCCTATTCTAGGGAAAATTATGCACAAAGACAGATATATCCATAGGGTAAAAATCATGATTTGGGAATGGAGTGGCTCTGTATACATGTGGAACTATATGAACAAAAGCATGATTTCCAGATGTTTTCTGAATATCTCATCTCATTTACATTCCATAAATCCACTACATATAGGATAGGGAATTAGTCATTGATATTACAAATAACACTATATAGAAATAACAATATAAGATTCATTACATTATTCAATACCATAATAGATCACAGTTAATTATTGGAGTCAAATTTACAATCAAAGTATTCTTCCAAGGAATAAAACGAGTTCATCAACAAAAATCTTCTTAAAACAGTTTTAAAATGTTTAACATCTTGAGCCAGGTTCCTTATATTAGGAGGAAGCCAATTAAAAACCTTAATTCCATGGTTGTACACTCCTTTCTGAAATACAGTCAACTTACATATAGGATAATGGAATTTATTATTATATCTTGTATTCCTATTATATATTTCAGAATTTAACTTAAATTGATATTTATTATTAACCACAAACATTGCAAGAGAAAATGTATACTGAGATTGAAGGGGTAAAATTTCCAGTTCCATGAACAATTCGCTACACGAATCTCTGTTCCCAGAGTTCATTATAATTCTAATCGCCCTTTTTTGCAATCTAAAGATATGTATACTATAAGGGGAATTACCCCAAAACACCAAACCATAGGTCATAATTGAATGGAAGTAAGACAAGTAAATCATTCTTAATGTACCCTGAGACCTGTAAGATTTTAGGGCTCTAATCGCGGAACACGCAGAGCCCAATCTAGACATTAACCAATCCACATGTCCATTCCAAGACAATGTGTTATCAATAATAAGCCCCAGAAACTTAGTATTTGTAGTGTTAACAATCCGATCATCATCATCATCATCATCAATATGAATATCCATCGGCTGGCGGTTCTTAGTCAAAAATTCAATAAAATGTGTCTTCTCGAAATTTAATGTCAATAAATTATCTTGAAACCAATCATTTATGTTTTTAAATATTAACGAAGCCTTGAATTCATAATCATCCGACGTAGGGTTAGTAATGACCATGCTAGTATCATCAGTAAAAATATTGGATGACATACCTTGCACAAGATCCATCTTGTCCTTGGGCTGTCCTGGCAGGTAGTGGGCAGGCACCAGGTCACTGAACTCTGTGATAGGACAGAGAGTGAAGCAGCTCCTGGAGGGTATGGTGTTTTGCAAGCATTGGTCTACTGCCAGACTGAGAGTAACACCATGCCCACTCCACATGGCTGCATGGAATGAACGTCTTCCAGCCACCACAGATCGGGAATCATCAACAAGGGTGAAATCTGACCAGCGTAGATTCACAGCAGTTTTCAGACCCCGTAGAGCTGGCAGTACCACCGACCCAACATTCACCTAAATAGAAAATGTGTCACATTTCTTCTATCAGGATCTGGGGATAGTAATGGTATGAGTGTTATCATTGCACTTGATAGGGATTACAACATAATAAATTTCATGTTCATTAACTTAAGTAATGTATTTATTCATTTCTTTGTACATTTATTAAATCATTTAGTTATTTATTTTCTCGTGAATTTATGGCATTTAAAATCTTTATTTTCTTTCTCTTCCTTCCTTCACTGGTATTTATTTATGTACTCATTCATTTAATTACCTGCTTGATTTAATATTTATTTACTTACTGTGGAATTTTATTTATTCATTCATTCATGCAGTTGGATACATGTTTACTGCCTTATTTATTATTTGGTTACTTGTTTGTATATGTAGATTTTCCTGATTTATTTATTTGTAAATTGTTAAATGGTTCTATAAAACAATCACAGAGGTTTTACGCCATTAAACAAGTTGAGGATGTGAACACAGGGTGAACTAGAAAGGCATGTGGAGAAGATGCTGCTTGCATGCCTCAGGGTACAATCCTGGCATTCACTTGAAGGAAACCCACATCTAAACTCGGGTTTCAAAAGAATATTCAGCAAAAAAGTTTAAAAGCTGTCCTGAAACAGCAAACTCCAGGCTGTAAACTTCACCGCCTTATCTATCAAACCACTCCTAAGTTAACCCTTTCTAGTCCATCAAATATCCTCTGCAGGTGGACAAGTTATGAAAAGATACAGGTAATTCTAGTTTAACTGCCACATGTTGCTTCACATGTCTAAACTTCAAATGTCAAAACTCTGATGAATCTTGTTTCTGTACTGAATTAGTTACCTGCTCAAGAACTTGTGCTAGAGCCTCATGATTTGCCACAATAACTGCTCCATAGTTATCTTCTAAATTCTTATGTACCACACTTCGACCCTTTCTTAAACGCAACTTGTTTGTCTTCCAGGAATGTCCTGAAGCAGGGGACCATTCAGATGCATCATCTCCAGCCTGTGAAATATATAAACTTGTGACAGTTACTTTATTATGACTGGATCTTGGAAACATGAGTGGAAAGGTGTAATCCAGCGAAGCATTTTTAAGATGTGTTTCTTGTGCTTTTACATAGCTCAATAGCACTGAAGCTCCTTTACTAAATTTAAAAATCTACTGCTGCAAAGGTAACCATATTACAAAGACCACATTATATAGCTAGAATTTGTCTTCATAAAACCTACATTTTATGTTGTGTAACAAACAGTTTTACTATGAGTTATGCTTGAGAATTTTTAAAAAGTTAATCTTGAGCTTCATGTAAAGTACTGGTCATATCAGACATGTAATTGAATAGTAAATTTGCCAGACAGCTTTTACTCAAGTATCATATTTCATGAAACTCTGGTTATTAATTTTGAAGCTGAAGATGAAGACAGCCACACAAAATCTTCACCTCTGCATTTACATTGTAAAAAGAACACACAGCTGCAGTACAGAGATACATGCCCTGATTCAGATATTACCATTTTTAATACAAGGCTTGTGGATACTGTATATTTTATGATATTGTTTAAGTACCCATGATCAAGTACCATCAAATGAGACATGGAGGGATTTACTGGGAAAAAGGAACTGGAACCATGATCTAGTTCAAGACAAGGCAAAGGTATAGGGGCATTGATGTAAAGATCTTTCATTCTAGATTATGACCCTGGTAAGGGCAATTTTTGTGACATTTCATGTTTGCACCTCTCATTGGCCTGTATCAGGTTCTGTCTCCTTTCCCCTCTCATGGATCTCAGTGACCACTTTTCCTGCAGTCTGCCTGTATAACCTAACCACATCCTCACCCTATTCACTTCGATCCTGAAGATGCAGCCAGCATGTTCCTGCAACATACTGGTAATCTCCTACAAGACTACATGGTGTTACAACCCAGAAGACCACACTCTGAACAAAACACATAATTTCCACACACTCAGCTCTCTACCTAAGTATAAGAATATATACACCCATAAAATTTAATTCTATATAAAAAATAAATAAAAACAGAATTAGATTCTAAAGGGTTCTGACGGTAGTGGATGACACACAGAATTGCTGGGTTTTTGGACTTTTTTCATCATCTGGAATTCTAGGTAATAGTGTCCTCTATTACCTAGAATTCTGGATGATGGAAAAAATCCAAAAAAAGAAAACAGTAAAAATACAATTTTATTCAAGACTTACAATCAAATAGATGGTTACATTCTGTTAATAACCATGTTTTCAAACACTTTCAATTTATAATCTTGCCTCAAAATAAGATACTAACCATGTTTCACCAAGGAAGCAAAATTACAGTATCCAAGACAGTGCACCAAGTGTAACAGTACTGTGTCACATGGAAGAGTATAAGAAATGTCACTCACATCTTCACTGCCATAGAAGCTGTATGGAGAGTAGATGTCTGACTCTGTTTCACTGCCACAGTAAGGAAGAGAAGTGGAACGCATGAAGCTGCCACGGAACTTGACATAGTCAGGTGATGTGTCCATGCTGCCTTCTGAACGGCGTTGGTGCAGGACATTGTATCGAATGGCCTTCACTGTATTTGCCTCAGTGGTATCACCATCACTTGATGAGGCCAAGCACTCATAGACATTCTCAGTCACATCCTGAAAAATTATCCCGTAGGTACACACTAGCTCCTTGTTTTATGAAAGGGAGGTATTCCCTGGTCACTCATCAGAAAATATGTATGTTAAAGAAAACTGACTCATGACAGTAAGTTCAAAGCAGTAATTAGATACATGACATGTATTCCTTATAAGCAACAGTAATTTAAATGAATGTTGTTAACAAGAAACAATGAGTAATACCTTGATATGTGGAGAGGATGAGTTCCCAGAGTTTTGCTCATACATCAAAACTTCATGTTTCAAGAAATGTTTAATATTACTATTATATGGATTCATTCTTAAACTTCATGATTTATCATCTCACTTCATGACTTTCCTTACATATCATTCAGGCAAATAAATACCTTGTCTCTGGCATTATTGAAATAGATGTCAAAGGCAAGGTTTGCTAGTGATATTATCAACCTATGTTATTAGCATTCTCTCTGTTGTACAAGTTAACTTTGAAGCAGTTAAGGGAGCAGAAGGCTTAATAACACATTGAACTGTATCAGCTCTTTTCAGAACTGTTTTAACTATATGGCCTGAAAAGCCAAAATGCCTTCCAGTATCCATTTTACACTCACTAGGTTTGATTCAATGAATAACTTCCAGTTTCTACTCTGACTTTATGACCTTTCTTGACCTCTTAGTTGCTTTATCATCATATTTACTCAGTTTTCTTCAAATAGACATACTGGATATAGATTCAGCACAGTTTAACTATATTACAATTCATGCAACCACTGACAGTAATTTGAGAACATACAAAGACCTAGTGCAATACTGAGGGCTGATTCACCTGGACAGATGTAAATGAACATTCTATGGTTTTGGATGTGATTATCTTCTGTATATCAAAGCATTAGTCAATTGTTATTAGATAGACAATTACAATTTTAACCATGCCCTGGAATATCTGCTGCAAAACTATGAGGTATATCTTTCTGTGAAAGATAACAGTAATAAATCCCAAGCTTATTACACTGAAACTTTGTATACTGAGATAGTTCAACAATGTAAACAGATAAATAAAAAAATCAATGCTATTCAACATCATCTGGCAATGATTTATTCACTGATAGATTGCTATAGTTCCGAGGTTTGGATTGTAGCATATTTCTGATGCAAAAAAATAGGAATATGGATCCTTTGAAATGCATGAACATTAAAACCTGTTAACTGAAAATTCATAAAATGAGAGTTTGTACTATTCAGGTGAAGGTAGTGTTCCCACAACCTTTAGGTGACAAAACCTGACTTCATTCTCTATCCTACCTTCTACTCTGTCTTTATTACCACACCAAACAGCATACTGGTGCTACTGCAGTTAGGCCTCTGACAATTAACTGAACAATTCTCTAAATGTCTACTACTTTCTACCTTATTTTATTGATTTTTAAATTCAGGCCATAAAAGTAATAAAATGTGAAACTAGAAGCTTAGGCAAAATCTAAATGTAAAGATTTTAAATGAAAATAAGTGAAATTAGTGTTATAGCAACATAGGCATGTGGTAAGTATGTATGACACTGAGGCACAATAGATCACTGTGGTCGCGGTGCAAGGGCCAAGAAGACCCACACCTTATACATTCATTCATTCATGTATGACATTAGTATTCCTTCAAAGCATACAAAATTAAGGTGATGAATATGTGACCAGAGTGGAGAGTAAAGTGATGGATGAACAAAAGTGAAAGAAGAGAACTTATGGGAGGACAAAGAACAGTTTTTTCATTCTACCCAGGTGAAAACATCAGTAGATGGCTAGGACTACATGACAGGTTGTTCCCTCACCGACACATGCTTCCCATCACTCAGCTCAACAGACTCGTAGCCACTGTCATCAGTCTGTGGTGCAACTGTCCTCTTGGTTCCTTCCATGTTAGCATCTCTGATACTAGACGTACGTTGTGGTTTACTGGGAGTTAGACCAGATCGGACCTCACCTGAAATGAGGCCTATCGCTGGCAAATCAGACACATTCTGCAGTCTGTGTGGCATTACATACATAAAAAACAATATGACTTCTAATTACTTAGATACAGTGCTTCCTCAGGCAGTATTTGAAATGATTTTTTTTTTTTTGCAGAATACTAAATTCTACAATGGGTTGACCATTCGACCTCTCTGTTAAGACTGTTTTCATTAGANCATTACATACATAAAAAACAATATGACTTCTAATTACTTAGATACATCAGGCAGTATTTGAAATGATTTTTTTTTTTGCAGAATACTAAATTCTACAATGGGTTAACCATTCGACCTCTCTGTTAAGACTGTTTTCATTAGGAAAGGAACAAAATATACATGGAGAGAATGTAGAGACTGTAGAGACTAAGAAAACCATGAAAATCATAATTTAAGACAGTCAGTTCCCCTTGGCAGTCATTATCACATGCTGTACCCACCTAAATTGGCATACAGGTTGTTGACAGGAACTGCTGCCTGCATCTGTCGAGCTGGTTGTTTCTGCTGCCACAACAGCTCTGCAGATTTTGGAGGTGGTGGCCTGGCTGGTTTATTCAAACCTTCTATTGTCTTACCCCATGCATCCAGAGACTGGTTCCGAGGGGGAGGTGGTGGTTTTGCAGGCCGTACTATGGAGAGAACAAAGTGAAGTAAATAGAAACAGGATCATTAGAGAAACAGCAAAGCTGAGCACTTCTATATGAGTGGTTGCTAACATGTGGCACCGAATCACTGAATGAATATGTCATATTGTTGAGTTCTGTGCGGGCTCTATCTTTTCAACACTGTCACAAACTTACTCCTCTAGTAGGGCCGTGCCATTGCTCAAGCGGTTAGTCGCTGGCTTCCCACCGTGGTGGCCTGGGTTTGATCTCTGGTCTGGTCAAGTGGGATTTGTGGTGGACAAAGTGGCGTTGGGGCAGGTTTTCTCCAAGTACTTCGGTTTCCCCTGCCAATCTTCATTCCACCAATTGCTCCACAATCACCCTCACCTTTCATCTGGGGCTGGTACAATAGGCCAGAAGTGGCCGCAGTACAAGGGACTTAGTCCCATCCCACTAGCAATAAAAAATAATAATACTCCTCTAGTATAAAATACAAGTTTAAGAAATACTGTTCTTCCTTCTTTCCATTTCTTTCACAAAGAGTCAATTTGCACCATCCAAGACAGAACCTGGTTCTGGTTCTGGAAGATGCAGATGGCCACAATGCAAAGTTCTTAATTTCAGCCTCCATAGAATCTGAATTTCTGTGAAGAGCAGGGAACAAATAAAGAGTACTATCCTCTGGGATACAACATCATGTAGTTTATTGAAAGTCAACTGACATTTCAGAGAAAGATATCACCTCCATGTTCAGGGCTGAATAAGCCAAGCAAGATACCAGTGCGAAAGCAGGTGACAAGCCAAGTAATTGGCCAGCTGGAAATTTCAGATTATATAGTAAGCAGGAGGGAAATGGAAGAGTGGAACTCAGTATCCAGTGGCCGGCTGTGGGAGAGAATGAAGCTGCTAGGCTCTCATGTGACCACTGTGCGAACCAATAGGAGACGAGAACAGGAGTTTAGGATGGCCCTGAAAAGGGCAGTTTTACTGGTCTAGGAAAAAGACAGGGGAAAACTGTAAGGGTGTGTTGGTGTGTTGGTGTGTTGGGCAGGGAACTGATGTGTAAGGGAGAGAAGTAAAGTGAGTGAGCTGCATGTAGTGGGGGATGAGGCAGTAGGAGTAACAGGAGGAAGCCAGACATTAGGGTGGAGGCTGGTGAATACCCAGAGAGGGCATATTTTGTACCTTGATAATGGCAATGTGCATGGGCCTGCATGGCCCCTCAAAGAGCACATATCTGCTGTCATGTGATGGAAGCCTCCAGGTACTCACCAGTCTCCACTCTGATGTTCTGGTTTCCTTCTGCTTCTTGTGATCTCTCATCACTAACCACATGCCTGCAACTCACTCACTTGGCCTCTCTCCCTTACACGTTAGTTCTCTGCCAACACACCTTTACAATTTTTCCTTGTCTTTTTCCTAGACCAGCCAAAGTGCCATCATAAACTCCTTTTCTTGTCACCTATTTGTTTGCTTGGTGGTTGTGTGAGAGCCCAGAGGTTTCATTTTGACCCACAGTGAGCCAATGAGAACTGAGGTCCACTCTCCCACTTCCTATATAATCCAAAATGTTCAACTAGCTCATTACTCAGCTTGCCACCTGCTTTCACACTGGTATCTTGCTTAGCTTATTCAATGCTGAAGATGGAGGCGATATGTTTCTCTGAAACATCGGTTGACTTTTGTAACCGTACGTCCCTAGTCAAAATTATATAATTAAGGGTATGAACTACTTATGCATAGTTTAATACCATGAGAGACGCTCCATTGGCGAGATACCATCCCGGGACCGTCAAGTTGTAATTCCGCTACTGTCCTCCTTAGGCTAAGGGTGCCGCTATTGTCCCTAACGTCGCCTGTTTACTCCCAGTATATATCATAAACCCATGAACTGACCGTGTGTGAGACTGGCCAGGAGGGGTCTTGGAATCCTTGAAGACTTACAGAGGTTTATGGGCATCTCGAAAAATACGAATGTAGGCCAGATGTCGGGCTCGACCCTTGGATTTCTCTTGTTATTTTTCTTGTTTTTCTGATGCCAACTGGGGGACTTGTAAAGATGGGGATCGGTTACAGGGAGCGGAGGAGGACAGTGGTTGGAAGGTAGACAGAGAAGTGTTTAAGAGTGGTGGTAGCTAGTCGGCGGACGGAGCGGCTAGCTAGGAGAATAATGTAAATATTCATCATTAATGAAATTTTAAATTAAAACGGCAATCCCGGATTTATTTACCCCGAAGTGTGTTCCACTCCCATCTCCGAAGCACCCGTATCCTGTGATTAAGAACTCAAGCTCGAGCGACAGTCGTGGCAACTGTACGTCGGCGGACGGCTACAGTTTTAATGGATTACATGGCTTTATATCCCAGATGATACTACTTTTCATAACCACTGTTGTGAGAGCACAGTGTCATAACCCAGAAGACAACACTTTCCATAACCACCACTGTGAGAACTTGAGATCCTATAGAGAACAAATAGTTAGCTGGCATATGTCACCTCTAGGGATGAAGAATAAATTTTAGGCTGTTTTTACAAGATTTGAGGGCTATACAATAATTGGCACGACTTCGTGGATATCTACACAAATTCAAATTCTGAGAAAATGTAAACTATGAATTAATAACTGACATGTTGTTATTCACTGCTATTGACAGCCATCACAGCTTGCAGTCTGCAGCCTGCAGCCTGTAGACAACAGATTTGGAAACAATGTTCTAGGTCATAATCAGAGTTACTGCAACTAAACTGCATTATCATGATATTTACCTGAGGAGGTTTGGTTTGGGCTGTTCACTGACTGTGAAATTCCAGAGTCAGATGACATTTCACTGTCCTGAAAGAAAGAATTATGTCTTAACACACATGCACAGACATAATCATTCAAAGCAAACCAAGAAATAACTAAAAGTAATGTTTATAAATAAAATTACTAATGCCAATGGATGATTACTTAATTATTCAATTCTATGTTTCAACTGTATTCAGCATGTGGCATTAGATAGCATATGAAGCAACTCATGAATGGCAGGAATATGCAAGAAGGGAGTGGTGACTTATTTAGAGGTATTATCCCAGCATTCATCTGGAGATACTGAGGAGACCTAAAAAATCTTTAGTCAGAATAGCTGATATCCTAATTATGATTAGATTTTTTTTAACTTTTCAAATACACATCTATAGCATTAATGTTACACCAAGAAAAAAGAAGCAAACTTAACACTTACAGCATCTCTCACCTTGTTATTCTCACTGCAACTGGAAGCCGATGAGCTTGAATCATCTAGACGCTGTCTCACATTGCTGGAATCACCTCGCAGTACCTCCACATTAGAGCCATTCAGCTCAGAGGGATGTATGATCTCGAGCCGTGGGCGTGGCACAGGCAAGTTGGGTCCCATATCCTCATTCCTGTGCACTTCCACACTGCCTACACTTTTATCTTCCTTACTCCCTCCAAAGCGTAGGAACTTTCTGAGTGAGAAACGAGCTCGGCCATGAGATGATTTCTTCTTCTCTTGCTCAGGGGGAGTGACAACAGGTGCTGGTGATGATAAACTTTCCACCGAGAGTGACAGAGACCTCCGCGGAGCAGGCTCAGGAAATGATGCAGGATTAAAACTCACCCCACTTGGAGACTGGCTCACCATCTCACTACGAAGCTTAGGACTACAAGATGAGGCTCGTTCTCGCTTCTCTTTCTCCCGAGCAACAGGGGAAGATGATATGATTAAACCAAGAGATGGATTGCGAGTGAAGAGGGAACATGAAATGTCCTCAACAGGGGCCATAGGTGGTTTGGGTGCTTGTCGCTTGTGAGCTCGTGCAGTTTCCAAAGCAACTAACTCCTGTTGCTGTTGCTGTTGCTGTTGCTGTTGCTGTTGCTGCTGCTGTTGTTGTTGTTGTTGCTGCTGCTGCTGCTGCTGTAGTAACTGCTCTACAACATCACATTCAACTGTAGACACCTGCAATAAAAACATTATGCATTTGCATTCCTAGCTCTTTTAGAGAAAAAGGGTATTACATGTGTGTGCAACAAGTGCATCAAAAGCATTTATAATATAGAGCAAAAATGTTTTTTTTTTATTCATGTCAACTCCCAATAGATTATAAAGTCATCAGCACAAAACCAGAAGATGTTGTGACCCACTCAATTTCAATTCTACCTGGATTTCTTGGACCATCATAATGGTATATTCTAAAGCAAAAGTTGAAAAGCAATGGTGGTAAAGCATTTCCTTGTTTCAGACCATTTTGATCAGGCACTATATCAGAAAAATGTACCTATAAATATACAGATTTTACTACAGATTTCATTTAAACACATCTACTACCCACACTAGTGTCAAGGGTATATCAAAGTCAGAATACTGTACAACACTTCCCTCACAACTGAATCATGGACTTTCTTGAAGTCTTATAAGTATATGATATACTGTGTCAATGTGTTCCCATTTTTTCACCAGTGCCTGACAAATTTAAAAATCTGATCAGCTGTTGATCTATTATGTTGAAACCCACAATGACAGTTCCCAACAGTTTTGGTTACATATTCAGTTAACCCTGAAAGAGAGATATCGGATAAAATTCTGTATGAAATTAATGCCTTCAATATTACTTCTGCAGTTTTATCACCCATCTTGTAAATTGGTACAGCAACAGATTCTTTCCACTGCAGAAGCTATTCTTCCCTACTCCAATGTAATTAGTAAGTTCATGGAGCTAAGAATGTAAGGTTTCCCCTCTTTTTGAATCAGTTCTGTTGGAATTTGATCAATACCTGACGATTTATACCTCTTAAATTTTCAAAACATCGAAAGGACTAAGCTCAGGTAGTGATGACTCAAAAATATTTATTTCCAACTGAGTAACATCACTATCTCTACGTACAATAGCCGGGAGAAGTAACTCTTCTGTCTGTTCAAAATATTGTGGGAATGTGCAAGCAGATCACCATTTTCATCCTTCACCATTTCTTCTGGGTTTACTTTCCTTCTGTGTTTGTTCCTTAACTCAATTCTTTTCTAGCTGAAATTTGCATAATCATGTATACATTCAACTACAAAAATTTTCTTGACCCCCCCCCTCTGAATCAGGGTTTTGTTAACACTTCTGAAAAAGTCATGCTCTGCCATTCATATGGATATATGGAAAATAAAGGAAATGAATGAATGATTGAATGATTGAATGAATGAATGAATGACAAACAACAGATTCCACATGTGCTAAACCAATTCTCTTAGGTCGGCAGAAACTGGTGTCCAATTTTGAAAGGAATTTGCCATATACACCCAGTCTTACCTCTAACACCTGCTCTTGCTGCTCAGTGACTGTGTCCTGATGTCCTTCTTGTTGCTGTTGTTCTTTCTCCTGTTTCTTTGGCAGTTTTGGTGACTGGGGTATAATGTGTCTTCTTGGATTTGCCTGCAAAACCTTGGTGCTTGGTTTCACTGGTATTTTTGGCTTGTCACCTTGCGGTTTCCTCAAAGCATTAACCTGAGTGGGGGAATGAAGAAAAGAGGGCCGAGGATCAACGATTGGAGGGGGGCTACGAGGAAGAGCAGGAGGTTCTGCGAGTTCGTCAGGATCTGCCCGGCCATCTGGTTCTCCTGCAAGCTCTCTGCTCTCTTCCACACAGAACATATCCACATCCTTCCCCTTTAACAAGGTGTCTGCTGTGATAGTCCTATTTGTTAGTTTAGAATCTAAAAAGTCTTCTGATTTAGTTGTCAAATTAACTGGATTATTTACTGATGATTCTCCTTCAATTTTACGAACAGATAACACTGCTGTATCCTTTATAACCTCCTTCTCTGTTACAAGCTCATCTAACATATTATTACAAGTTTCTTCCTTTACAAGCGACACCTGGCCTCCTGTAGATATCTCTTTGGAAACACTTTCGGCATTACATGGATTGGTAAGTGGCTTCTTGTCCAGTTCTCTGATAGAATTAACAATATTTTTGCTTTCATCAGCACTTAGTGTCACTACTGAATCTTTCAGTTTTACCTTTGCATTGTACATTTCTACTATAGCATTAGTAGAGTTCATTTCACTGTGTTTCACTTCGTCAGCAGCATCTATTATGTTGCTTTGTTTTGAAACAGTCTCTGTATTAGAATTTCTTCTATTAATGAGATTTTCAAAATCTTGTACTAGCTGCATTTCAGTTTTTAAGGCTGAATTTGAGAGACTGGCTTCACAGATTTCATTAACCCCTTTTCTGAAGCTGTGTATTGCACTGTCTTCTTGCTTGATGTTTTGGTCACTACCTTTGCATATATCCTCCTTATTCCTAACAGTCAAATTTGTACTATCTTTCTTAGAAGTATCTTCTAGTTTCCTCACAGACTCGTAACTACTTCTTCGAATTGCTGGTTTTGGTAAAGTCTCTTGTGGCTTGCTTGACAGATCAGATCTTCCATTGAATGCCAACGTTCGACTTACAACTTTCAGTTTCTCTGGAGAGACACGACTCTTGATCACTGGAATGCGACTCACTTTACCTTCTGGTGCTTCATTCTCAGTTGGTTTTGAAGTGTTTTCTCCAATTTCCTTTGATGTTTTGTTAACATTTTTAACACAAGTCAGCTTCAAGGACATCTCATGTACCTTATTACGGGTCACTTCAGCTTCTTTAGCTTTGTTACTTGAGTTTTGTGACAGTAAAATTTCCACACTGTTCTCATTTCCTGCTCCAGCTGCAGTCCTTTCTGGTATCCGAGTGGCATCACTTTGTTTCACAAGTGATTTAAGAATAATATCTCTTGAGTTCTGATGAGGAATTCCATTTCTTTTAACGAAAGACTTTTTTGTCCCAATTTCTGCCTGTTTCAGTGAGTTCTCATTTTGTGTTATTTCTGAACTCAAAATTTTGTCCTGCTTTGTTTCGATATTTGTCACTACTGATTTGAGAACAATCTCTCCCGATTTTTCATTTTGAATTTCATTATACTCTCCTCTAGGGGACTGTGTGATTTTCTTATTCTTATCCAGTTGCTCAGGTGACAGCTTACCAAGATGACTTTTCTGAATGCTTGTCACAGGTGATGCATCAGATTCTTCCCGGCCACCAAATGGAGTAACAGAGACTTGCAATGTCCTACGACGTCCGTCAGCATCAGTGAGTGGTTTTCCAAGTAACAACTGAGTATAGGTTCGCTTAGTTTCACTGCTGCCTGTTACTGAGAAATTTGCAGCCATAGTATTAAAGTCAGTGTTGGTACGTGTAAGTTTCTGCAAGGCACGATCCTCTTCACCATCACCAACATCATCATCTGATGCTATGACATTCTCTTCAGGCTCAAAGGTATCTTCACTGTCTGAAGGGTCGAACTCATCCCCTCCAAATCCAATCACCTGTGACTCCTCAGCTGGAAAGTGTACGGCAGAACCTTTTGATCGGCGAACCTGCTGCCCATCCTTCAGGATACCCTGTTAACATAATACACAATCCTCAACTGACTCTTAAGTTTTTGTGTTTTCATTTAATTTAGTAGGTAATCTTTTTTCACCTCTTGGGTGATGACAAAATGTCATGGTGGATTAGTTTGCTTATGTTTCACAGGCCATCTTCAAGAGGAAGTGACTACAGAGCAGCCTAGCACTGATACTTCATACTTCTGAGCCACAAGACATTAGGAAAATTCTATGCTCTAACGGGTATCTGTGCCAACAGGAGGAAGACGAGAACTTGAATCCATTTTCATGGTCACCTTTCCTGGCTGAAAATGCTAACAAGCTACTGTTTACTCATTTCAGACGGACATATGAACAAAACGAGGTTCTCTGAAACTTGCCTACCTGCCCACCACAACATAGTGTCAACACCCAAGAACAGAAACAGGACTGAAACTTAATTCAGACAGCAATTTTTCTAACACATTTTTGTTTTAAAGTTTCTGAAGGATGATAAAAACACTCCTATTCTTCTTATACTTCTAATGTAACAAGAACTGGGTTAAAGTTTAATTCCAAAGCTAACTGAACTGTACCTTCTAGCTTTTCCTCAGTCCTCCTACATCTCATCTTTCTGTAAGATTGCAATAATACATTTGCTATATTAAACATTCAGGAGCAATCACTTCTGCATACTCCAACCATTTTATTTGCTGCTATCTAATGTCTTCTACCATATTTTATGTTCCATAAAGGTACTGATTAAACCAACCAAAAAAATGCGATAACTCATGTCTTTTGTAAACCCAAGTTTCAGTCACCACATCCACAAGGTTAAGTCAAAGTCAAAGCCATCCACAAGAGCCTTCACAAGTGTTAATTACTACAGTGTGGGAGCCTCCAACAGTAAAACAAGCGCTACCCAATCAGCTCTTACCACGGCAGCTTCAATGCCCATTGGTTAGTGCGACGCCTAGCGACAAAAGTACTATAAAGATGCGGGCCTACGACAAGCTAGCATCATATAAATAGGGCATATGCTGAGCCTAGACTGACAGAGGCCTTGTATATATTATACATATTCGTACTAGATATAAAGATTCAACTGTAAATATGAGTACATAGTGACAATGGCCTAATATTGTCGACTATGATTGACAAATTACAGACCTGACCTCTCGTCAGAGAGGGAGCCCCGCATGGACAGAACAGTAACTTTCACTTAAAAAGTAACATCTGGTCATGAAGACAGACTGACTGACCGCCAGTCGCAACATGACTTTGACGTTGAAGCTAGCATCAGTCACATCAGTCACAGCCATCACAGTTTAGCTTGCATCGAGAAAACACCGCAATGGTATGTCTATTACTCTATTAGTATCAAGCACCAGCAGCAGACTGCGCCAGCGATCACCAGCCGCGGTAGGGGCTTCACCTATCGGCCTGCCTGCCGGCCTCGCCGCCACTGTTAACGGCTAGCCCGCTACTGCAAGAGCCTCGCCCGGCAACCCGCCAGCTCGCAATCACCCGGCTGCTGCAAGGAAGAACGCGATCACTAGCTCAGGCTAGCCGGCTACGAATGGAGTTTTAGCACGCTCTGTTTCCCTGATAGTCTGTAATATCCATTCTAACAGCAATAAACACTTGTAGTTTGACGTGATCGTCTCTCCGCGCCACCGGATTCCACATCCCACAACAGAAACAGAAAAAGAGTCTGTTAAATATTCCAGCATACCTTGCACTACATCCAATATATTACACCATAGACCACCTTATAATAACAAGGGTGATGGGCAAATATAATTATTCCCGAGATGAAGTTCAAATTGTTCCCACATGCATTACCTGAGGTGCTGTGTAATTCTGCCGCCAAGAATGGGCGCGGCTAGGGTACATGGTTGCCAGATAGCGAGTCTTGCCTTCACCTGCACCAGACGCATGTGAACTGTGCTCTTCTTTGGATTTAAAGCAATTTGAGCACAGATCTTTCTTCCATGCATTCTGAACAAAATGGTGGCACAGAGCTGCCATCATTTATCTCTGCTAACATGATATCATCATTGATCCTGTGGACAAGAACATAATTAAAGATTATAGCCTTCTGAAATATGATGCCATGCAATGTTAGCACTTTATTACTGTTTCAAAGGAACCTACTGCCTCCATCTTCTAATCTGGGGAAGGAAGCAGGTTCCTCTGAAATGTTGGTAGAGGTCTTCAGCATACAAGCTGTCACATCCTAGAAGACTGCAATCATCATAATTACCACCAAGAGAACCTCAAATCTCATAAGAATAAAATTCACACTCAACAGTGGCTTTGCAGAACTGTCCAGAACTGCTGCACAGGAGTTGCAGAAACTAAGTATATGTTGCTATTTAGTCACCAGAATGCAGGGCAAAATCATAACATAGAGAGAGCTAGCAGATCCTTTGAAACTGTGGCACAGTTTAAATATTTGGGAACGACAGTAACAAAACAAAATTTGATTCAGGAGGAAATCAAGAGCAGACTGACCTCGGGTAATGCTTATTACCATTCAGTCCAGAACCCTTTGTCTTCTCGTCTGCTGTCTAAAAACATAAGAATTTAAAATATACAAGACTATAATTTTGTCTGTGGTTCTTTATGGGTGTGACACTTGGTCTCTGACATTAAGGGAGGAACATAGACTGAGGGTGTTTCAGAACAGGGTGCTGAGGAGCACATTTTGACCAAAGACAGGTGTAGTGACAGGAGATTATAGGAAACTGTATAACGAGGAACTTCATAACTTCTACTCTTCGCCAAATATCATTAGAATGACAGAGTCAAGGAGGATGGGCAGGGCATGTATCACAAATGGGGCAGAAGAGGAATATAGGTATTGGTGGGAAAGCCCACTAAGAAAATAAAACATAGGTAGGTGGATAATATCAAACTGGATCTTAAGAGATATGGGATGGGGTGTTGAGGACTGGATTGATCTGGCTGAGGACAGGGACCAGTGGAGGGCAAGTTAATTAATTAGTTATTTATAAATATAAATATGTGGAAATGACAGTTCTTTGAAATAGTGGCAGGTGGAGTGAAAGAAATTTCTACAGTTCAATTATTTCTTTATGTATCAGTGTCTGCAAGTTACTGAAAAGTAAATTTACTCTGACATTACCACACTACAGGAGTCTTTCATGTCTACTCCCTACTGAAACTTCAAAGGCCTTTTCTGTCAACTTAAATAGTCTCTGAATGTGACATTTTTAGGAAGCCACAATACAAACAACAAAATACATTAGTATTAAGGATGAGTGTATGAAAAAAAAACAGATCATAAGAAGTGACAAATAATAGGAGGGATAAGATGAATCTTTTTAAAGTGAAAGCATTTCCCATACATTTATGCTGATGTGAATTTCTCACTAAAAGGGGAAGAAGTGATGTAAATTACGTTTTCATGAAATATAAAGGACCATACAGGATCATTAAAAATTAGACATGAAGACCGATGGGACTACGCAATACACCTTCATGTTACTTGGTAAGAATGGAAGGCCATGGAGAAGATTGGTTTACATAGCAAAACAGAGTGGACAATAAAAAGACCCCAAATTTTCTCCTCAGAAAAAACCAAGGAGGCATGGAGACACAGAAGTCATTAAAAATATGGCTATAAATTCGCAACAGACTTGGACCTACAGATACAGGACAAAAAAATGAGGACATGAATTTTTAACACTTTCTCTCGCTCTTGTAAAAGCTCCAAGTTCTTTGCACATTACTGGGAAGTTCACCAAAATTAGAAGGATAATTGCTTCCTTTAACCCACTTTGTGCAGTTGAATTTTTCATAATGTGTTTATTCATCAGGCTCAATGACTTGAAGTCAAGTGTTCGTTGCAATGGGAATATATTAGAAAGCTTCAGGCAACACCATCTCCATTCTTACACATACAGAATATATGCAGCTTCCTTTCTCAATTCTCCTTCCACCAACTACTCCATATCCTATCATTGATGCTATATAGCCCCTATACTGGCAGCATCATTATATAATAACTTAGAAATAATGTTATATTTTAGTGTCCTGTTGCACTGATTTATGTCCATGATTTATTCTGACCGTCTTACAGTGCATACATTTATTCACCTTACTCTTCTCTCTTGCACTACATGTTTCAGCACTAACGTGCCATCTTCAGGTGCTTTTCGATGTACGTCGAACTACTTCATNTAGGTGTGACTCGCGTATTGAGATACGACATAAGGATGACAAATCCTGAACAATTTTAATATTTTTAATATTTAAAATTTATCAATATATATGACGAATATATATTTTAGTTATTTTAGTATAAAGACAACAGGGCATGCAATGAAGTAGTTCGACGTACATCGAAAAGCACCTGAAGATGGCACGTTAGTGCTGAAACATGTAGTGCAAGAGAGAAGAGTAAGGTGAATAAATGTATGCACTGTAAGACGGTCAGAATAAATCATAAACTTAGAAACATATACAGTGTCCATGTGATCTCCTTTTGTAGTAATTTTCTGCCCCAATTAAGGACCTTCGAGGGAATTAGTGAGTATTGTCCCTCTGCTTAACTAATTAAGCACTACGCCATGAAGGCGTATGGGGGAGTGGATGTAATATAGATTTGCATTTTCTTGACCTCTGCATTAGCTGGAGGTGAGTGGCCAGCTTCACGACCCTGACACTTTACCCCCGGAGGAAGAGACACCGGTACCCATTAGATAGGACGTTGGGTGGGCCCCAGAACCGGTCTGCACCACTTGGAGAAGAGAAAATTCTTGACCCTACCGGAACTCGAACTCCGACCCCTCAGTCGTTCAGCCCGTAGCTAGTTGCTATACCGACTATACTATCCCGGCTCCTTTAGAAAATGAGTAAGCTCTAATCTCGAACCTTACCCCAAGTTACAATTCTTATTTCTCCTTTCGGTGGTAGGGGAACACAAGTTACTTGTCTTCCGTAAATTAATTTCCCTTTCCACAGCTTTTAGAAGGGGTATAAATTCACAGACCGGAAGAAAATCAATCAGAGTGTAATGTTTTCGCTAGCCTATAGAATAAATGCACCATAAGCACGCTTATCTAATGATGAGTTAGAATAGCCCAGTGAGTGAAGTGACTGGTTGCTAGGCCACAATTCGACTCGAAGTAAAAAGGGTATTTTTCTCTTCGCTAACACGTCCAGACCAGCTCTAGCGCCCACAAAGCCTCCTATCCAATGAGTATCGGCGAGCCTTCCCCCACTGCACAGCAGTCACGTTCTTTATTCTCTTTTATCTGGTACTCAAGGAAGGGCGGATCTTTACTTCCACACCTGCAACACGCTTCCATTACTACGAGTATAAGCTTAGGTACGGGCAGAAGGAGTCCTTACCATTTACCTCTCAATTTATAGCAATATGACTGTTTGTTTTCACAACGCTGTCAGTGTGTCAGACTTCACAGCGCCGAATGTCACGATGATAGGTAAATAATTAATTGGAAAGAATATGGACGGGACTAGTTGCGACCTGATAGAGGGAACAGGGCTGAGGACAACCAGGAAACTTCGTGGTCACAAACTGATGTTTCAGCCAAATTTCGAATTGAGCACCTCTCGATTACAAGTCTAGGGCGTCGCCAACACGCCGACGGCGACATTCACACTCCATATCGTGTCTCTTGCTTTGTCGGAAATCTAAACCCACCCTCCACAAATACTTTTATCAAATTTAATACGGGTTGCAACTCAATGCAGATTCTTATCAGTATCTGACAGGCAGCATTGCTCGTTTTATATTTAATCGGGCTCCATGATAGAATGACTTAGGGCCCCCATGCACACACAGTTTGGCCTCCAGTTCGGTCTGCACAGTTGAAGACTGAAAGGCAAAACTGACGTGTGTGGTGCGGCCGGCCAATCGTTTGGACTGTTGGCCTGTGGGAAACCCGGCAGTCCGTCAGTTCTGCCTGCAGGACCGAAGCACGTGACGTGTGTGACTCAACATTATAGGCTGGAAGACCGTGATTGTGGCATGAAGCCTGCTGCTTTATCTGCGCGTGTATGGGGAGGAAAGGGAGGGGGTAAACTGTCACAGTTTTGCCTGTAAGGTCGATCGGAAGGCCAAACTGTGTGTGTATGGGGGGGCCTTAGACTAATCAGAGCTATACTAGTTATTTTTACATCACGACTCGTGTCCCGAATTCTGGTGAAGAAACATGAACACGTGTAAGATGTTCTATACGGAACTTCAGATGATGTGTAGCACTAATCTTCAAATTACTGCTTCGTCATAAACGCTAGTTGTTACTAATTCCTATATTGTATCGTCCAATTTAATTTCTTACAGGTATAAATACACCATTGCATCCACATCACAGATATTTCACCCTCGGATGTCAAAAACTTTCTTATTGAAAACTGTCCTCACAAGCGCCACCAGATTTATTTTGGGAGAGGTGGCTAGAAAATTTTCCCCAAAGTTACGTTTAATACGCCTTAAAGTTGTCGGGATCTCTACTGAAAACACAGATGGCATCACATTTAATTATAATTGTACGTATTTTTTGTTATTAATATTTAACGTTATCTCCTTTTTCAATATTGAATTTTTCAAGAAATCCGGGGGTACAGATGCGTGCTTACATGCCCCCCGCAACCTGTGCCTCTTGCATAGCTCACTTCATCACCTCTGCGTGACCGTTCAAGTTTCAACGACGAATATTCTGCTACAGCGTCCTGTAGGTGGTCAACGGGCTAATTCACTAGCTCTGTGTAATGTCGCCAAACTTTGACTTGGATGTGAGATTTAATAGCTAATTAGCTACGCATATGGTTAGTGCGATACAAGGAGATACCTGAGAGCCTGCCGTAAATCGTTCGGTCCGTCCGGCGTGAGGTACTCAAGCTACTCGCACAAACCCGCACTGCGAGCATTCGTACACGTGGCGCAGTCTACAGACCAACAGTCCATACAGTATATTCTAATTTATGTACAGTACCGCCCCCAACCCCCCAAAAAACAAACTTGGAATAATTACCATGCTGTGAGCTGTATCTCAACAGTAGTCGGTTCCTG